GGCGGGGCGGGGCGGGGCGGGGGGTCTTACACGCCTCTCCCAAGCCTTTTGCAGCAGTTGGACCACATTGCACGTTTTTGGCCAATTCACGGAGCCCGTAAGCGTGACGAGTAATCAAGCCTTGTATTCTGTATACCAGCCGAGAAGGGGAATCTAGTAATTTTGCGCCTCTTTCGGGGCGTCGAGGTTCCCCTCTCCCTCCATCATCTCCTCGGCAGTGTTCTCTTCTGCCTAATTCGCCCCCCCCCCCTCTCGTCACAATTTCTCGACAACTTTCTAGATGTCGTTTTCACGAATTTTAAAATTTTGTTTGTGGCGAGGCGCACTCATTCATAAACCGAGATTCATTCACCAAGAATAAAACGCTCGCCAATTTCAGGCGCTCATCCAGAGGGGGCGGGGGCATTGGGTTCGTCGACCCGGCCAGGCCCTAAACAAGACGCCTGTTGGGTTGTCCCCCCCCCCCCTTACACACAGACACATTCTCAGACACACGTTTGATCCGCTCCTTATCAAGTTTCGCCTCTAAATCCGGCATTTTACTGAATCCTGACAAGGAAAATGCAAATGGTTAGGAGATGTAAGCAAGTCATCGACTTCTCACATCCGAGAATTTCATTCTCGGTTATTTCTGGAAAGAACAAGTTGTTCAAGTGCCGATCCAGGCGAAGTCTGTGAATGACGGGCGCGATTCGGACGAGAAGTATCGGCCGACGCCCTCTAGTTGGGACACACGTAGGGCAGCCTGAGAGGACGGAGGAGAGAAGGGGGCCAGGGTGAGAGGGGCTCGGCGTTGTCAGGATACGATTCAATTGCCCGCATGGCGACCATAAATCGTGGCAGCCCCTCCATTAGACGAGAATTTGACGCTCGGCCGTCCGCGTCCGCCCCGCGCGCGCCCCGTCCCATCTCAAGCGTGGCTGAGAAGTCTAGGTGGGCGTGTGTCTTTCCGTGCCCGTGGCCCCTTGGCAGGGCGGTGGGGGGGGGCTCCACCTCCACCTCGCTCTTACCTCGTAAATTTCCCCGAAATTACAGGTGTAGCAGAGCAGTCCTCGCAGCCATCCTTCGCGCATGCTTCGCTGGAGTCCGCACTCCGTGGCGTGGCATGGCGCGGCCGCGGCAGCGGTAGCGCCCTGCCTGCCAACTGAAGACTACTCTTGAGGAGCGAGGCGCGAGCGCGAGCGAGAGCGAGCTTCTGCTGCTGAGAGCCCGATGCGAGAGGGTAGGGTTCGACGGCCCCAGTCTACTATACTGAGACCAGCCTAAGGTCGCGACTGGGCTAGCACAGGCGGTATAGGAGTTTGCGGGCGAGAGGGGGTGAGGAAAATCGCGATCTTAGGCTGGTCTGCCTTTATACTACATTGTTCCACGAGCTCCAAACTGACCTGCAATGCGGACGAACTGGATTGGCGAGAACAACCGACACTGGATATAATGTGACATAATAATGGAGTCAGATGGAGTCTTCCTCCGGTCTTCGTGTGTTTTCGGTCCGGCGACAAGGCGATGACCCGTGGCTCCCGTGGCGTGGCAGTGGCGCCCTGGCGCGGTGGGTGGTGGTAGAAGTAGGAACTTGTGCGATTGGTGCATTTGCCGCTCCCCACGCACCCTATGGTATAAAAAAATAAGAAAAGGGGAAAATATTTATGGAAAGTACACAAACGCACGATTTGTTTAGCGGAGTCCAAACTACGTTCGCGCATTATGTACGCGTTATTGTCACTCTACGTTCATCAGTGACCTTGCCCACATCAGGCTAAGGGGTCGTCCACATTACGTCACTCTATTTTTGGTAGTTTTCGACCCCCTTCCCTCCCCCCACGTCACGCGGCTAACCTAACCTTTCAATGCTTTGGGTATAGGACCGTCACGCTCGCGTAGACACCCCCCCCCCCCAAACGCGTGACGTAATATCTGGACAACCCTGAAGTACAAAGCCCGGTACAAAAATATTTCGGGATCCAACAGTCGTCGTGTCGGTCGAGTGGCCGATCGCACATTGCCCCTGCCCCCGGCGCACTGCCAGGAAGGGCAGGCGGCACCCGCCTGGTTGATAGGCCACCCCTTCGACGCCTGCGCGTACTGGTTGCGGATTTGCCGGCGGTCTCTATTGAAAGGCTTCGGTTTACAGTTTACACTCTGCACAAACATTGCCTGTGGGAGAAATGTCAAGGCTGCACTCTAGTTCAATAAATACAGAACTCCTTTCTTTCATAAAAAAATGATCATTCATAAATATTTTATTGAACAACAAGTAACAAGGTTTGTGAAGAGAGGCTAATAATAAATACAGTCTTATTCCGACTGAGCTGAGGAATTTTCTGGTGATGATGTAAAAACTCTGTCAGCGCTAAAAATGTCAGGTGATGTAAATGTTGATGATTGGCCTACTCTTGAAGGGCCCGCTATGTCAACGACTGGTTTCTTCTACAGGAAAGCAACAGAAACATTACCAAGTAGGAAAATGAAATTTGATGAACTTTCAGATGAGCTACCCACATTGCATACTTACAGTGAATAGAGATCCAAGAGCTTTCAATAAAGGAGCTCCGTCTGATGCATTAGCCTCTGTCTCGGCAGTGTTTAAAAGAGATTCTAGTTTATCCATATCGCCTTTAACTCTAGTGACAAGGCATTCTAATCCATCAATACGATCACCCAGCTGTTTCAGTTCATCTTTTCTCCCTAAAATTTCAGTTGTCAAAGTATTCACAGCCTGGAAACCATCTGCCTCCACCTACACAAAACAAAACAAAAAAGCCTACAATCATGCGAACACTAGCTTCCGTGAACAGTTGTCTCTGAATCAACTTACCATGTGTATGAGGCTTTGGAATTCCTCTAACCGTGTAAGCATATCTTCCACAGATTCTGTCGCCGAACTAAGCTGCAACCACATTTCAAGAATTACTCTACTAAAATGTTGGAAACTAAGGCCAAAAGGTTGACCTCTTGTCACGAATGATGTGATACTGTCACTACGCTGAAAACATTTAACTTGTTAATTCTTACCTCCTTTGTCAGGTCGACTTTCAAAAACGCAGCATAGTCATCTGCTAATTCGGGAACCATGTTTCTTTATAACGCAAACGGAAAAGAAAACTGACAGAAATCTGACAGTACCAACAGCAACAGCACAAACGACGTGTCTTCTGCTTATCTGTACGTAAACAAAGTAAAGTAGTCGAGGTTGGGTATATTCTTTTCGACGACAAATCCCCTGACTGACCAAAGTGACCAACGTTATTTGCAGGTGATGTTTTGCCAGCACTACAAAATTCTCATAGTGTTGTTTACACTTAACCTAGAAAATAAAGTTCATCAAAGTTCAAGTGTCGTTTGGTGTCGTTAATGTTAGTGTTCGAGGAGTATAACATTAAATAGTTGTTCAAAGGCAGGAAAAGCAAATATTTCGTGGAAGTACGTTTTGTAAACATTTTGTCTGCGTAGGGCACGTTTCACTCCATTTCAGGAATAGTCTCAGTTATTGAATGTAATGATGGCTGTGATGTGGGATGGATTTTCAGAGGAAGATATCACTAAGATGAGGTCAGGGTTGGATGTAGCAGATACCTGTCATAGCAGCCATAAAAACTATACCGGTAAGATATCCACTGGTGAAATAAACAAGCCTAAACCACCAATAACAGCAACGACAATAACGACAAAAATCCTCTAGACTTTACTAACAACCTGTTGGTTGTTGTTATTTGGCTAATTCATATCTCCTTGTTGATCTAGATGTTGGTGCCTCTCACAACGGAAAGAGAAAACCCACCCTTGGATCAGTTAGAAAAATTACTGAAGATGGGTTAACAAAAAATGGCACTAAACAGAAAGAAAATGCTACACCTGATCTTCAGTTGAGGGAGTTGACAAGTCAGGTAAAGTATCATCTTACTCAGCAAGCTCCCCTTTTTTTTTCTAAAGAACTGTTGGGCGTTGCAAGTATTTTTTATTTTTTTTCAATTTATTTGGTGTGTGTATGTGTTGGAATCAGGATGCTTTTTTGGTGAATGGAAATCGGAGTGCACGTGTTACTGTATTGAGTTGTTAGAGGAAGTGTGTGGGACTTTTCCCTTTCAATATTTAAGCGATGCATGTATAACTGTTTAAAATGGTTAATGGAAGAGTATTGGACTTCTCCCTTATGCGACATTCAAACTGTTTCTGTAGGTCAGTAGCGAGCTTCGCAGTCTTGAAAGCGGTACTGAACCAGTCTCCGAATTCTCTAGGAATTCTCAAGATGCTACCTCTGGTAACAAATTGGAAACCAATGATTTCTCTCCTGAAACATTACAGTCCTATAAAAATTTAGTTGAGGATCAAAGGAAATCATTAACGGCAAAGCTAGTTTTACCATCTTTGTCACAACCACCCCCTGCTGCCATCAACTTAAGTGATTTCAGAGCTAAGCACAAGCTGATGGAAGAACAGAATCGAGCTCGGAAGGTTTACTTGGCGAAAGCACTTGAAGATAGGTAAGATGAATGTCAAAACTTTTTCCTCTCCACCAGCTGAATATGTACTCTCTTTTTCAATGGATTATGTCTTACAGTAGGCACCACATTATACAACATGAAATATGCCGTGTTTAAGTAGAGGGGAAATGAGTTCAAAATTACAAACTGCACACATTTTACAAAATTATTTATCTTGTACTATGAATATTCTGCTCCATATGGTTCAGAAGCTGGTCTTGTTCAGATCTTTTCCATTCTTTTTTATGCTGCTTAATGTGACTGTTCAAGACACCAAGGAAATCCAAATATCCTACCAATCAGGTATTGCGTGTTTGAGTAGTTTAGCTGAGTTTATCTACTTCTTTATTGGTACTACTTTAGAATCAATTCTTGGTGTATGGTTTAAGTAGATTGCATGGTATTTGTTGTCAGTTTTGTGTTGCTTCTTAGGTGTACTTACCTGCTAGAACAATGTTTGTTGTGTGTACACTTGGTGTGTGATCAACATCATTTGTCAGAAAGATATATGGTACTGATAAAACTCTAGATTGAGATAGCTGATATTGTTGTTTCGCTCCCTGGTGTACCAAGAAAGTGTGTAGTCTTCTTTTTAATCTCTCTCAGAGGAGTTGCCTTACAGTTCCAGTCCCTTGAATTATTCACATAATTAGCAATATATTCGTAATCTATGGCTGGTTTCATCTTTAGGCAACAATTTGAGTCATCCCCCCACTATGTTAGGTGTGTTACCTGGAAAATTAAAGATTATCATTTTAATCATTTAAAAGAGTTACTAGTTTTTTAATTATATACAATTTTAATGAGATTATTTGTCTTCCCCAATATTCTTTTTTCTTTGCAGTGGTACTCTTCATGACATGAGTTAAACAATCTCTTTCAACTTATCTTTTCTTTATTTTGGGCAGGAAAAAGCAAACTCATGAAGAACAACTCCGTCTAAGCATGATTCAAGAGGAACTCCAAAAACTAGATCAGCGCCTCAGTTGTGATGTTTCTATTATTCGCAACCAGATTGAAGCAGCCAGTCTTGAATTCATGGAAGCCCAGTAAGAGTAAAACCTGTTAATTATTATTAATCTAATCTCTAAAAATATTAATAACAATTTTCTGTACTGCTCTGATGAAGGAAACGTTATGACCGAGCAGAAAAGGAATTCCTTGATGCAAAACTTCTCCTCTATACCAAGTTGGAACGAAAAGAGTTGCTGACACATCACCTTTGCACTATTATTGAGCAAAACGAGATGAGAAAAGCTCAAAAACTCTCTGAACTGATGGAAAAACTACAAATGCCTGATTCGGTAGGTGAAGTTACTCCCTGCCCATTCATTCTATTTGGTAATGCCTTCTCCATTGCTCATTTTCATCCCAGTTTAAACAATTTCTTTTCTTACTAGGACGTGCCTGAAGTGCACCGAGGAAATGAAATGACAGGGTGTGATCCGCCTGGTTCAGAATCAAAAAGTAATCTATCTTCAGAGATCATCCTCACACCCTCATCAGTTGTACTTTCTCAAACTCAATTGGATATTCCAAATGGAGAAAAAAACAATTCTGAAGCATGATGGCTGGACAGAACTTTTCTGTAAAATGATATTTAAAACTAGTAGTTACTTATATATTTTTTAAAATGTGTTATGACTGCATATCTAAGACTACCTTGTTATTGTCACTTACATTGGTATTTTAATTTAATGTTTTCAAGTTTAGGGTAATTGTTATAATACCTGACACCATATATTTTTGTTTGTTCACTCAAACATAACTTTCTATTATCATATTGGGTCAGTAACTGTATTTGTGGCTCGTGGCAATCTTCAATCACATAAAAAAGCCCTTAAACCTAACTGCAGTAAATACCACAGCTAATGTTAAATAGATACTTAAGGAAAAACTTGTGTTGTCTCATGGAGGTGCATACACATACGTAATCAAGGTGTTTTTGGTTCTTGATTCCTTACTAGCTCTGTACTTTGTCCCTACACTTTAAGGTATCTTAGCTCACCATCATGTTGTTGCTACCTCTTAGCTTGTCCACAGCGATTAGTGTAAGCCTCTAAGTATAGTCTTCCATATCAAGATCACTTGAAAAAATTAAAATTGTAAGTCTGTTCTGTGCCTAGTTACAATATGTGTGATGAATGAGATCTGTTTAGTTTAACTGGAATCTGTGAAATGTCAGTCTTTAGAAAGTGCATTTATTTGCTTTTACACCTAACACATCTTTGAATCCAGTTTTAAATCGTGATATTCTGCTTTAAATATATATATAATATTCACCGAGTTTCTCTCATCACAGCTTTGTATCAATTGACTGTTAATGTGCTTTTGTTGTTTGTTCAGTGAAAGCAAATTTGTGATAAACATTTTCCTTCAGTTATTTTCTTTCATTTTTCACATAGTAATATGTTGTGTCCTTTACCATTTGCATTCATTGTGTATTTGAGTTATGTACCTTTAGAAAAGAACTTATGTTGAATTATTTCACAACCACCAATTAAGTAATCAGCAACGTATGTTAGTACATGTCTATTAAATATTATTTGGGTCAGCCCTGTTTGTCGAACTATGTGTGTATTTATGTTTTGGATTAAAATACATTTGCAGTATCGTGTCAACCAAATGCATTTTCAATATTGTTGGTTACCTCCTTTCATTTCAATGCTAATTATCTCTTTCGCGGCCGTCAATGAATTATTTATACCATGTTTATTTATAACATGCATCACGAATGTTTCAAGCCCAGCTTGCCGTTTAAATACGAACAGGGAAAACGATGAATAAACACACGAAGGTTGGAATACTGGTGCGCTCGTCGCGCTCTCTAGTGAGTCGACGTTGCAGTAGCGGTCAGTTGGTGTTGATGTGTGTATCCATGACTTTGGACGATGACGTATTGGTTAGGATCACAACAATCAGACTTTTTCTCGTATTTAGTTAATAACAAAAGTGAAAAAATTGTGAAAGTGTGAACATTGCGATGCCAGAAGTAGTACAGTCAAATCTACAGTCCAAAATGACGCTTTACGTCCAAAAGATCCTGAAATCTCTAGAAGTAGTTTTACGTGTACCACCACTGTTTGTTATTGATGAAATCCTCAAAAATATGGGGTCTGCATCTCCCATTGACATTTCACTTGATTTGGCCGAAGAAAATGACAGGAACGTATTAGATTACCATGTCATCATCGTAGCCCTAGTGAAATTCATGTGTGGAACTCTAGGTAAGTGGCCCTCTTTGCAGTTTCTTTCAGTGTTAAGCCAAGATACAGCTTTGTTTTTTTACCTCATGCTCCTGTTTATCATTGTGTCGATATTTTAAAAAGTTTAATATCCAGCGCTTTGTAGTCGTGTTGTGATACATAAAAATTTGCCTCTGTCAGGTTAACCTTCTTAACTGTCAATTGTTTTAAAAATTTGTGTGTGTTTGTTTGTTTCATATTGTTTTCATTATTCTGAGATCGGAAAGTATAATTTGCTAATGCATAATTTGGTTATGTTGAATTTCTCAGGTTTCCTTCCTATCCTTGAATACCATAAAACACATAGGTCTATGGCGAATCAACCATACTCTAGTCATTTGATCAAACTTTTAATGAAATTAAATATAACTTCATGGGGCTATATCCCCTGAAACCTTTTGCTTTGTTGGCACTTTAATTACTTTTTCAAACATGCATACTCATTTCAACCACGCTTTATTTTTCTTAATTCTCCTTAATTTATATTACAGGTTGTATCTTAGCAGTTTGTGTTTTTGTTTTATGGACAAACAATCTTGTGAAAGTGTATCGACACTTAGGGTCAGTCCTGATAATCTTTGCCTTGTACTGGGCCAATGTCACTTACGTTGATTCAATTCTTGGTCAGCAAAGTATTATGAAGGTGAGACCGGCAATGGTACAATTAATTTGTATTTGTATACCTTGTCCTAGCTTATTTGTTCTCATTTGGTTTTCTGATCATGTCTTTTTATTCCAGAACCAGGGTGTTGATGTCCTTCATCTTCAGCCCTTTGGATTAAACCGATTCTTTGAATTTCACAAATCATATGCTGTCAAGAATATTGCATATTGGTACCCTATTCTCCAGGGTGTGTTAACAACCCTCTTCTCAACTGTTTACCAAGGTCCTAGGCCTCCCTTTTTATTGCTATTCATGTACATTTCACCAATAGTTCTAACCCTATCCCCACTGCCTGTGAGTATTAAGTGTGTCAGTTTGATCTGGAGATAAATCTCTACCTTCTCTAAGCTTTTGTTTCATTTACAGGTTGCCATAACTGCTCACACTCCTCTTATGTGTGCCATTATACCTCTACTTTTGATTAAATATGTTATATGGGTAAATGTAACGCCTGCTACTCAAACTCTGTATTCTGGTTACCGCCATGTGCACACTATGCTCTCAAACTTTGGTATGGCGACTTTTGTTGAAGCCGAATGGACAAGACTGAATGTTCCAAGCGTCCTACTTACATTCTGGATTATGCGAGTCTCAGGACATGCTGGCCTTCTAACCATGGAATATCTCCAATCTGGTGGTAAATATTTTGGTATTAATACTTTTAAAATTAATGTTCTGCCCTTCAGTTTATTAACAAAAAAAATGTTATCTTCTTTCATCTACTTGTAGTGAGCACACCATTGCCAGAACTATTGCACCAAATGGCAAAGGCCTTGCTAGTTGGTGGGTGTGATACTTTAATAGCTGTATTAGGCATGACCAGCGTAGTCAGTTATTTGTGTTATTATTTGGGATGCCTATTCCAATGGGCTCTTCTTGCAGAGGAAGATGAAGAAAAGCCCATAGGTGAGTTGGATTATCAGTACTTTACATTTTTCATGTTTCCTTTCCATCACCCCAAAACAACTTATTTTCATTTCTTGTTTACAGGAACTGTTTCGGCAATGCTGTTTTATGTCTTGGCACTGCAGGCAGGATTAACAAGCTGTGACCCTGAGAAGCGTTTAGTTCGGCTCAGCCGAAATATTTGTCTACTTTTTACTGCACTTTTACATTTTGTGCATAATTATGTCCATCCGCTTCTCCTGTCACTTTCTGCAAGCCACAACCCAGCCCTGCACAGACATTTAAGAGCTCTTGGTGTAGCTGTATTCATAATAGTATTTCCTATATCCTTGCTCATTTTCCTCTGGTCTCATCATGAACTCAGTACTTGGCTTCTAGCTGTGTCTGCTTTTAGTGTTGAAGTAAGTAAAGTATTTTCTCCTTTCCGTACTCTTATTCATCTTCTAATCTGAAATCATTGTGTGTGGGAACTTCAACCTCACTGTGGTTTACGTTATACACACAAATATTTTTTGTTCCCCAGGTTATTGTGAAAGTAATAGTATCTCTCATGATCTATTCTCTTTTCCTTTTGGATGCATACCGCTCAACATTTTGGGAAAAGCTCGATGATTATGTGTACTACATTCAAGCTTTTGGCCATGTAGTTGAATTTAGCTTTGGAATCCTCCTGTTCATGAACAGTGCATGGGTTTTGGTGTTTGAGGCTGGTGGTGCAGTGCGAGCAGTGATGGTTGGAATCCATGCATACTTCAATATCTGGTAAATTAATGATTACTTTTACTATGTGGTTAATATGCCACAACCAATATCTTACACAATGTATTATGGATTGCCCATAATCTTTATTTAAGTGAACTTAATTTTTTTTTTTTTCAATAGGTGTGATGCTCAAGCTGGATGGCGAGTGTTTATGAAGAGAAGAACTGCTGTTAACAAAATTAACTCATTACCAGAAGCTTCACCACAACAGCTCCAGGCTCTAAATGATGTTTGTTCTATCTGCTACTCAGAGATGGTATCAGCCAAAATCACTCGTTGCAACCACTTTTTCCATGGGGTATGCCTCCGAAAGTGGTTGTATGTTCAAGATAGGTGCCCTCTGTGCCATGATATTTTGTATAGAGTTGCAAGTCAAGAACAGCTTTCGCAGTGAACAGCAGTACTTCATACTGTGGACTGAATCTAATGGCATCTGTAATTATTTAGTAAACCATTTTCTGTATGATGTGATATTTTAGGTGTGCCCAGTTTGGCACTAAATTGTTTTTTTCATCAAAACAATGCAGGCTGTGACTAAGCAGTGTTTGTTTAATGGCTCCCTTTATATTTTTACTTTTTAGTTATTTTATCAACAACAAAAAGCTTTCAACATGAACAACTCAAATAAATGTGTAGAGTTTTTATTATTTATGTACCAGCTTTGCTATTTACTTGTTCAATCAGGAGAGATAATGTGGATTTACGATCCGAACGCTCCGAGTGCTGTTGGGGCGAGAGTTGTGGTTGGCGGGGGAGAACAACGCCCCCGAATCAATTCCCTCACCCCAACTACACTCGCAGCGTTCCTATCGTGAATGCACCTAAAAGTGGCTCTACTCTTGTGATGATTTTTTTCTACTGTTTAGTTTGTTGTTTATTTTCTAATTTTTGAAATTGTTACACAGTGATGCATCAAGTAGCAATCCCTCCATTATAGAGAGTACTTATTATGTTTTAATTTAAGATAAACTCCCATTTATGTATTCCCCATTCCAGGCTATTTTTGCCAATGCAATTAGTTTATCTAAAATGTACTTAAGTATCTATCCTTACACGATATTAAAGGTAATTTGTCCAACACTTTGTTAGAGATGCAAAGTGATTAGAGTCTTCCAAGGCATCTTGTTTGTAGCATATTGCATACCCGGGTTATACCAGCACCTGACTCCATTCTATGGGAGGTGTATAAATTTTTTCTATTGAGTCAATTCGATTGGGAAACTTTTGGCCTACCCTAATGATGTAGCTCAATGTGTCATTCCAAGTAAATTAGTTTCTTTTCAGAAACTTTTTCAATTAATACCTGTATACATTTTGGATATATTTCCCACCTTATTACAGATGTTAACCATTCCATCTAGTTTTGTACTGAACTTTTTGTATTTGGTGTTCCAACATGGTTAAGAGTTAGGCTTGTGTCATCTTGGCAGCACACAAATTAGCCTTTTATATACATTGTAGACTAAAAACAAGTTTATACTTTATGAAAAAGTTAAAAATCGATAGTGGATTTAGTATCCTGATACTTCAACATTAACATTTCAAGTAATATTGTATCAAACATTCTTTTCAGCTACCATATTACCTTCGATTTATCAGTTATCTGTTGTACTTTGTTCACCATGGATGTCCTCCAGTAACTGTTTTCTTTTGTAAAGAGAAGTAAGGATATCCATTTTGTAATCTATCCTTTCTTTACTAGTATTATTGTTTAACTGCTTACAAGGAAAGAATATTTGTGTTTAGTTTGTAACAAATGGAGTGTTATTACAATCTTCTGTGATTTTAACTATATTAGTGTATATTGTAAGATATAAAGCTTTTAACTGGTCAACTGCATTTGTGTAAAAAAAATTGAGCATTCTACACAGTGCTATGTAGTATTTAAGTATCACCAATATCATTGATATGGGAGTTTGTTTGGTAGAAATGTAAGGGTGATGACTGGATCTGTGATTTTAGGGTCTCTGTTTGAAATCTGGATGAAAGAATGTTTGAGAGCTTTCATTAGAAAATAATCCTTAATTTTATATGAAAGCATTGTTATGCCACTGGTCCTTACAGCATTGTAGTGTACTTCATTTTATGATTGAGGATTTGAGTCTCCAGTGTCCTTTGTTGAAGGTTTTTTCTTTTTAAAACATATAACACAAATGTGACATGACAATATTTCAGTAGTTTTGGTTTTGACAATCTTGGAGTTTTGAGGAACAGCTTTTACGCCTATGAAAATTAGACCAATTTTATTGTTCAACGCTCATTTTTTTGACAGTAATCTTAAGACTGACCAACTTTATCTGAGCTTCTTGCTTTTCACTGTGGAAATTAATTAATTAATGCTGCCAGTATTTGGAAGCTGCAGTTTGTAGACTCTATAGATAAGTGTAGGAAAGCCCAACTCGCCTTCTTGCTCAAATTCCTATTCTTAAGAGTGTTTAGGAAGCACTGGTAAAACAAGTGTGCATAATTTTAACACCAGCGTGTGCAAGTTATGATTTCAAACATTACATGGTGTTTAACTCAAGTTGCACACTTGAGTGGTGTGCACTTTTTAAACGTTTTGTAAACGTTTAAATTCTGCACACTTTGGCACACACAAATCTACAGGAACCACATTGTGTGCAGCTGATATACTTTTAGGAAGTGTTGAATGTTTAAACACCAATGAACGTTTAACCTAGTTAAACACCACAATGTATTGAGAAAATGCACACTTGAACTTAAATACCAATTGGCGTTTAACATTTCACACTTGTTTTACCAGTGAGGGGACTGTAAAAGAATGTGCCAGGTATTCAGGTCAGGATGCTTTCTCAGTGAGGCCGCATCTAAGGTCCAATGGATTTTCGTGTCTCATAGAGTATGTTAATTTGTCATCTCTGAAAAATGTGAAGTCTGTTATAAAATGCACAAAATATATTTTCTGAAAAGCTTTTCTTGTTGTACTATATTTAACACCATTCCTTCCAAACAAATAATTATGATGGGAAACATGTTAAATTTATCATGACATGCATCCGTTACAGAATGTTGGAATCCTTAACTCAAATATAATGCACACTGTTCATCAAGAAAAGTGTCTACAAGATCACTTAGGATCAGAACGGTTCGCCGCGGGTCTATATACGACCTGTGGAAGATGTCTTTCTAGCCAGACCTTCGGCATCCTTTAGCGGTCGAGTGGATATACTTTCACTAGATGGGCATAAAGGAGTGAAAAAGCGCGATGACACGGGCGGGACGGGTGCTGCCCAGCCCAAGCCCTGTCCCGTCCTGCGGGTTGACTCTCCACCACGCATCGCATTCGTCATGCCGGCCTGCCGGGTGGATGGTGGGGCGGAAAGGGGAGCGGAGCGGTCTAGAAAGAGAAAGAGCGGCGCCCTGCCATACCGAGGAAGGTCGCCGGCCTCACCTCACAAGGGGACTTCGGCAAGTGTAAATTCCCGATCTTGCCTAAGCTCGGCAAAATTCGCTTCTTATCGATGTTGGTGACGAACGCCGGTCATTTTTTTTCCTGGCCGTCATATGCCGAAACTCCCTATAAAAGCGTATAATTTCGAAAAATACAAGTTTCTGATTTTGTACAAATTCCTCTACCACTTTTCGATTTGAGACCTCCTATCATTTTTTGCCCAATTTCATTTTTTTTTCATTTCATTATTTGCTCCCGTAAAGTACCCTAGGAGTTGCCAGGCAGGAAAAAATTCGGTCAATCGTCATCAACATAGACAAGAAACAAATATACTGAGTTTGGGCAAGATCGGGAATTTTCACTTGCCTAAGTCTCCTTGTCAGCGACAAGTTCACAGACCACAAGGTCCCCCAGGAATGTAAGGACAGTATTTGTTGTACCTAAACACGGAAAGTCAGCACAAAGGAAAACTCCTCATTTTACGACATTTTTCTTTGATTGACAACGTTGAACGGCGATCTCGCTGAATTCAATCAGAACCGCGTTTGAATTTGAGTGACGACCCGACGACCCGCTCCCCCAATCGGTATGTCGGCCCTCTTGTCTTCCGCGTTGCTCTAAAACGTGAGCGCACTGTGGGCCGCACAGCAGCGTGGCCGAGTAGGCGGAAAGACCCTTTCCTCTTCTTGTTCCTAACCGGAGTGACACCTCGCCGAAGGCGGACGCTTTTCGCTTTTCCTGGGGCCCCGCCGTCATTCTTACCTGTACGATGGGGCTCCCCGGTTCGGGTTTGGCATGAGCTCGGTCAGGGCCGGGGTGGGGCGGGCGGGCGGCGGCGGGCCAGGCGGGCCCGTCCGGCCGACCGGACAGGAGGCACTGCGAGAGGAATGCGGTTCACCTAGATTCGAGTCGCGAGAGGGAAGGGGAGGGGGATGAGGGCTGAGGGCTGCGAGGGCAGTGCCCCCGTCGGAGTCCCCGCCCCAGCAGGGCGCACAGGGTGGGCGCCCCTCAGCGGCGGGTGCAAGGCGCTAGGCGCTGTAAGCATATCGTGGCATGACCGTAGGTAGAGTGGAGCTTCCAGAGGTCGAGCGCCTGCGAAGTGCGGGGTAGGCCGACCCGCCACACACGGCTGTCCAGGGGCTGCTTCGGCGACCTGGCAGGCGCTAGAGATAGGCAGACCAGCTGCACACCGCTGTCCAGGGGCTGCCTACGGCGACCTGGCAGGCGCTAGAGGTAGGCAGACCCGCAACACACCACTGTCCAGGGGCTGCCTACGGCGACCTGGCAGGAGCTAGGGGTAGGCAGACCCACCACACACCGCTGTCTAGGGGCTGCCTACGGAGACCTGGCAGGCGCTAGACCTAGGCAGATCCGCTACACACCGCTGTCCAAGGGCTGCCTACGGCCACCTGGCAGGCGCTAGAGGTAGGCAGACCCGCCACATACCGCTGTCTGCGGGCTGCCTACGGCCACCTGGCAGGGCGCTA